AATCGCAGTGCGGCATAAGTCCTTTTTTTGGATGCCAGAGACAGTGCACATCTGGACCTCTGCAGCTGCTTGATGGGAGATGAGTGAAATGTCTTCAATCTCGTCGTCCCGGAGGGATGTAGCAGACGTCGGCAGCAGAAAAAAATTGTACTTCACTAAAATCTCATCCTTTGAGAATGAGATTTATTTTTATTGTATTCAGGCGATGAAAAGAATGAAAATATCTACACGAATAGTGGAAGTGAATAAGTGACCATTACACTGAAGAATGGGTGTGAAAACCTCTTAATGTTCACAGTGATGTTGAAAGGATGAGTCAGTTTCAAAGGCCAAACTGTTCGTTTTTGTGCATCTTGCACAATCCAGCACCGCTCTTTCCCAGTCGAGAGGCAGCTACATAGTCATTACGTGGCTCCATAACAGCTTTTATTCTTATCTTCTCAGGTGGGTGATCGTGGTTATAAGTAACTATCACGTCTATGCCACTTAAAAAAAGCTGACCACTCTCTTCCAGGTACTGTATGATCACATGGTATCCATCTCTCTGATCAGGACTTAAACCTTCAACTGGCCACGTTGGTTTTAATTTCCTGTTGAACTTTGCACGACTCACGTTGAGTAACACATGTGGAAGTCGCCTATCTATTTTTGCTCTTTCTAACTGAATTTGAAAGGATGTACTTCAGCCATGGAATGAGCTCCTCTTTGACTTGAATATGAATTACAAGCCTCCGTTCAGCACGCGGTCCGGCCTGGGCGTGAGTGACAAGCGTCTGCCGCTGTACTCATCGTCCCATAATGGCTTTTGACACCACGATGAACCTCAGGGTGGTGAATTGAGCATGGTTTCTGTCTTTTGTTCTGGTTTTAAACACATCACATTCAGGGTAAATGTTTTTTTAAGTGTATGCTTGTCAAAGAGTACCTATGGCTTTCAAGTTAGTGTGTCCTCTCTGTCTCTCTCTCTCTCTCTCTCTCTCTCTCTCACCCTGAGCGTGGCTACCCTTGGAGTGGGTGTTCGTTCTCTCTCTCCCTCTTGCTCTTTCAGCTCACGCTCCTGAGTCCACCTGCCCCTCCTGCTGCATCTCCCAGTTGGGCAGCGTAATGAGGGGGGAGCAGGACTCACGACCCGAGGTTTACAGACTCAGCTTAAGGGAAAGATGCCGAGACAAGGGGGTTAGGGCCGGATCATTAGACAGAACTGACTGAATTGTAAATAAAGCAAGCCATTTGGTCAATCAGTAAACAAACAAGCAAGTAAAATAAGACAAACGGCTGTCTGGATGATGGACAACAAAGTATACACAGCTTTATAAAGATTTCAAATGAGCAAATCCATGCTCTCGTACTTCCACTGAAACACATTTTCCTTTGCAATTCATTACATTAATTTAAGCTGCTTAATTTAACGCTTAATTTATGTAATTTAAGAGTAGGTACCATAATTCCATTTTGTGTGGCCTCCTTAATTTTAACCAAAATGAAATATCTTCCTTCGTAATAAAACCCTCATGGGCAATTTCAGCTGTTTCCGGCTGTGACACTAAAACAAGTGAGTGGAGCAAATTTCACACATTTTGACATGAGAAAGCTGGACCGGCCAGTTTTCAGGCCGTATGGCATACTCATGAATCAGAATAAATGCTGTGAGTAACAGAATGTGCAAGTTTCAGCTTTTAGAGTGGCTCTTACAGTTAGACGTCATTCAGTGTTTTGGGTTTTACTTTTGTGAGCCCTCATCTGAGGTTTTGTCCACTTGCAGCCATAAAACGGGTTCAGGATACTGAGTAGGTGGGGACAGAGTGCTCTTTCAGCCTCCATAGAGGGCCCATTCATTCATGGGACCGGTAGGCTTCACACATGAGAGATGCGATATCCAAATCGATGGGGTGATTCACAGTGATGCACACAGACAGATGTCGGAGTACCACCGGAAGCAAACGGTAGTCATTTTCGCAGTAGTGCTCACAGTCTCTCCCACTGAGGCTGATGGGGCGAAATCCCAATGATACCCTGCAGCTGCCTTAGGAGAAAATTCACATTATCCCTAGATCAAGCAGGGAGAAGCTCCTGCACTTAAGGATCTCCATTTCCCAAAGAAACAGGCCACTACTGGAACAATGGCCTACGACAAAAACTATTTCTCTTCCCTTGCAATAAACCACATCATTTTCAAACTGCATTAGCTTGACGTAACAATAGCCTGCAGAGATCAGAGGGTAGAGGGATGTTGAGGAATCAGGCACCTGTTGCTTCTCAGCAGAAATACTGGTTGCTGTCTTCGGGGTTTGACAGTCTGGTAACACGCTTGCCTACCTCTCCATAAACAGTGCCAGATGGCAGTAACAGAAATATTTCTTACAGTGTCAGATGGCTGAGACTCTACTCTAGTCTCGCAGGAGCTGATTGGCCATTTGTCAGCAGTAGCATGTGGCCTGTGGGCGACTGGCTAGTGGGTGACCAGCCAATGGCAGAGCCAGCTGGCTGGATGTAGGCGGTCCATGCCCACATCAGCTGTAGTCAGCACATTGGATGCAGGGGTTGGCATCTTCTTCTGACAATTAAAACTATACTATACAGAGAGTAAGAAGGACCAAAGTTTGTAGTAGGAGCATACCTCTTTTTTTTTTTTTTACTAAACTCTAAGTATAAGTTTGACAAAGGCAGACATAATAAAAAGCGGGAAATGTTATAACTCTCTGCTGAAATTAGTTTTGAATAGGGTCTAAGTACACTGGGACTTCACCCATGGGTAAAACACATCGTAGCTGTTTATTTCCTAGCTTGCAAACAAGCATCGCTAACTCCAGCTCCACCAGCCCTGAGATGGGTTTCACAGTCATTGGTGCAATGCACTGATTTTATTGGATTCAAAATGTCCCATTAATGTAATTCCAAATGTAGCACAGTCAAATAAAAGCCCCCCAGACAACCAGAAATATTTTTCAATTAACTGTCTATTTTAATACGTTGTAAAGGTGTCAGTGGGGACCTTAGGTTTGCAGCAGGACCCACTGCAATAAGGCTGGACCTTAGGTTTGCAGCAGGACCCACTGCAATAAGGCTGGCCCCCAACTTCAGTGGTGGACTCAATGTTTCTGACAACAAGCAGGCCAACACCCTCCCCCCCTTCACAATCTATTAATGCCATTGCCTGGTTCAGTCAGGGCTAAGACTAGGATGGTGAATCCAAAAGCATAGACAGACCGATCGATTGAAAAATGGGTGAGATTTATATAAACGTAGACAGCAGGAATCAACAGGGGAACAAGACTACAAGGAACTAAGGTAAACAGCAAGTAAGGAGCAGGGCTAGAGCACACAAGTAAGTGCATGGATAGGTTCAGTGACTGGATAAAGGGCCCCGAAGACACACTGGACTTAAATAGGCCCGGATAATGAGTTCAGGAGCTGCAGGTGCGCTGTCAGAACTGGTTAGGCTGGTTTAGGGAGCAAGAGAGGATCTGCTCCACTACCCTGTATTGGCCAGCCAGCTGGAGGCATGACAGACCCTCTTGTACTCATAGATACTCACAGATACTCATTCATTCACAGGAAAGGAGCTGGGGGTTATGAGGGGTTCAGGGGGCTAAGCCTCTTTGCCCGTCATCGGAAGGTCACTGGTTCAAGCCCTGGCCTCGGCAGAATAGTTACATGTCTGTTGGCCCCCCCCCGCTCCAAGGGCGCCATACGCTGGCTGACCCTGCACTGTGACCCTCAAGCTATGGAGAGCAAGATCGGCTTGGCAAAGTGAAGAATTCCATTATACTGGTACTTGTGCAAATGGAAAATAAACCATTTATCATTAATGAATTTGCCGGAGTGTGCAGGGATAAATGTGAGTGTTTGATGGCAGCGTGTACGTTGGCTGAGACCTGGAGGGCTTCCTCCACCCTGAAACCGAGCCTTTGCTGTACTGGAGATAGTGAAATGTGGAGTAGGACTTCCACAGGCCGCTTTCACGTGTAAAGTAACAGTGAACAACGTGTCCTGAACAATATGTGTGGCCTGATAGAGCTGTACACGCAGGTGCACAGTAATTACTATGACAAATTTTGCAGGGTGCAGTGAACCACTGAACGCTCAATCCATGATATTTTTTTTTGCTAAAAAAAAAAAGCATCAAACACTTCATTTGTCGTGAGTGCACCTGGAAGACAGGCCATCCCGTGATATTTGGAGCACCTTCAGCGGCAGTGACAGATTAGCCTAAAAACACGGCAGCACGCCAGCCAGCCACAGCCGCTAGCTGCAGGCGATCAAGGTCACGCTGCCAGCTTCCACATCTCGCACAATTAACCCACTTTCTGGACGTGATCTTTTGGGATGTAACTGAAACACGGACACATCCTCTGATGCACTGGCACGACATCAGCGAGAGGCCGTGTGTCACTCTAAGGGGGCTGTATGGGCCGAATTCGTGTGCTTTACGCTTTGATAGAGAAGAAGTAGCTGTTCTCCGATGATAGTTTCGTATTTAACACTTCACACTTTCAGTGTAAATAGTGCAGGTGTGAGGCTGGTGTAATTTGTACCATCACATTACGCCGCCAGTCTGAACAAACTGGTACATTGCCAGCAGATTAAAGTGAATTAAAAACGTAATGCGTACACAATCAGTTTACATCTTACATCTGGCTCAATTCCAGGCATTGAGCAAAAGGTTAAAGCTGTAAAAAGCCCAGCGAGGTTCCAGCAAAAATTGGTACCTTCCACGCGAGGTCAGAACGTGGACTTCTTCCAAGGGCAGTCAGAACCCGGGGTTATTCTAAGCCGGGTCTACATGCCGGCATCCCAGCACACTTGGTAGCTCATACGTAAGGTTAAACTTGAGTGGTTCGACCCCTTTTGGTACCTACGTCAAACCCCGGGATTCCAGAGCATTTGGTACGTTCCAAGCATATGCAGAGATCATCAGATGCTGGGGAGCTGACAGGATTCTCAGGGGGAGTCAGGGAGCTGAGAGACAGCATGGAGGCCCACAGCCTTTCTGCACTGACCTGCTTTCTCCCCGTGTCCCAGCTGTCTATAGGAAATCCTTTCCCTTGCTGGTGGGTGGTGCAAGGTCACTTATCTTCCAGTCGTGTGCTGTTGAATTACTCCACCTCATTGGTTCATTCCTTCACCATCTGTACCAAAAAATACATAAAACTATTATTATCCTCATAGACAATCAGGAATTCTCTGTATTGTCTTAATATACCAGAATAGATTTTATCACCTCAGTCAGAGTCCATTTCTGTCTGTCTGTATGTCTGTCTGTATGTCTGTCTCTCTCTCTCTCTATCACACACATACACACACACACACACACACACACACACACAGTCCTCAGAGGCCTGTCAGCATATTGGCTCCCAAATTAAATTTTGAAGAATTATATCCACCTTTTACAGAGGGACTCTCAGGTTTCGCAGACGGAAAGGCACTCCCTCTGACATCAGCGTTTCCTATGTGACTTTGGACACCATTATAAATAGGCCGGACTTTCAAATCAGATATTTATAGAAGCTTTGGCCAAACTCACAATTCTGCCTTAAACGCTGATAAAGGATGAGGTCTGTAAGAGAAAGGATGGTGCTGATCTACTGGACGCGTGCTCCAGCAGCTACCGGTCATTATATTAATGATCATAATCAGAGTCAGAGTCAACTTTATTAGCTAACTGTGCTCACACACATGGGGAGTTTGTCTCTGTCCGCCAGGGGCTCATACATACAGCAGCTACATGCTGTAAACAGTAGAGAGAAGACGAATGTCACATAAAGAAAGACAAAGTGTGCATCAGAATACTGGAGTGAATATAATATGAACAAAACAGCGCAATAAGCAGAATACTGTACATATAATAAGTATAATATATATGATATATTTATAACAATATGAAATGGTTAAGGTTAGGGGCAGTTATGTGGGGGCAGCATGGTGGTGCAGTGGTTGGCACTGTCACCTCTGTGACCAGGGTTCGA